TTTATAATGAAAATTGACCTCGATGAGAACACAGTTTACATCTATCTAGTTTAAACATAGGATTTTCCCTTTAAATGTGTCCTATTTGAACCACCCTGTTACATAATGGTTGTCTACTCAAAAGGGTAATTTTATTTTAAATTTGTATATTTCCGACTATTGTTCTAATGTTTTATGTTCCTATTATATAAACGTTTTCTATTCAGATATTGCTGGAAATAATTCAAATTGTGTCTATCAGAATCCAAAATTTAAAGTTTATTATTTGAATAAAATCATACCTACCATAAGATATTAATAGAATGATAACTTACTTTATAAAAATGCCGTAAAATTTCACACATATAAAGAATGTAGCAAGTGGATTCAGTAAACAGCATTTCAATATTGAGACTGGAACCATTCTTGCTATTAGGGTAAATGAAGAATAGGTTCCTGGGCCCACATCATCAATATTTCAGAATTCAAGGAATGTGAATTAGTTGAATCTCCGATTCAAGTCATTACAGTCATATGGTGGATGTTATTACAGAATCATGGGAAATGGCGCATAACCTCGAAACCTAAATGATTTAATGTAAAATGTCACAACATTCTGGTGCAACTGAGAACCAAGAAATAATATCAATCTGAAAATCAATTGATTGGAAACTATCGTTTGCTCTGCTAGGAAAGAAATACCCATATACAAAGTCTCAACAATGTCATAGAGACAGTATAGCTATTTCTTACATGGTGAGAAGAGTGAAAGATAAACAAATTAGAAAAAAGTTGCCTGATTTGGACCTTTTTGATATGCTTGATTCATGCAATATTTTGTAAGAGCTAAAAGTTGCCAATTTTATCACTTCACTTTCTCATTTGATATTTGAAAAATAATTGAAATTTTGCATAAAAGATAATTAAACAATCCAAACTTTTTTGTCTTGATCAATTATTATTTAAAATTTCAGTCTCAATCAAATAGCAAGTGAAAAAATTAATACAAAACCCAAATCTAGCATTTTCAGTTGTAACAAAATATTTCAAGAACCCCTTGATACTTTTTCAGTTTGTGAATTGGCATATAAGAGAGGTCTAACTTACTCAACTTGACTCTACTTTTTCTAATTCAATCATCTTTTGCTCCTTTAACGTGGAAGATATAGCAATTTTATCCCTATGAAAATGTCTGTATCCTCTATAAAACCCATGTTAGATCATAAATTAGAGTATTCAAAAATATGAATATAAAGTGTGCTCCACTTCAAGTGGTACCACCCTGGTATTTCAGCAGAGAATGTTTTTTTTTTATAATGTAGGTATCTAAAAAGCCTTTATGAATTGAGTTTGATTTATTATTTACAGACCTCCTGTGATTAGTATTAGGCAGTATTTCGTTCTATCAAACTTATTGCATAATAGATTAGTTCATTCACAGGATCAGCCAAATTTGGCACTTTCAAAGAAAAAGTGAGGAAAGTATTATTCATTCTCAAACTAGATATGAAGAACCAATGCAAAATGTTTATCCATCTCAGAATTGAAAGGTGTTTTTCAGAAATGTGCATTTTTGAAAAACGACTTATATTTTTTCCAATTTCCTTTGATTTTATGAAAACACTTCCAAAGCATTGAGTTTCTCAGGAATATAAATCCTCACAAATTGAAATAAGTCTGTGTAAATTTAGTTGAAAAAATTAAACAAGTTATATTTTTGATGGAAGACTGATGTCAGTGCCTGTTTATAAATCAATATGACTTACTCAATTCATTGAAAATGTTCTCATGAAAACAAAGTTTTCAAAAAAATATATAGGTTTCAGTCACTTTTGAAAACACCTAGTAACCCTAAAACAAAAATAGATAAATAGTCTAGATAGATATGTAGTTTTCATTATAATTGACTATCAGCCATCAACCTCAGTTCAATTTAGGCCACAGTGTACATATATTCTGAGAAAGTTCAAAATAAAATAATGCATGCCATAAAATGATAAATCAAGCCTAATTCATATAACAACTGATAGGAATTTGTAATACTACATTTTAAAAAATATTTGAATCCTTCTTTCTACTCCAAGCAAATTAAGAGTGTGGTATCACTTGAAGTGGAACACATGGTGTATAGAATGTTCCATTCACATTGATTCAGTTCAATTGAAAAATAAGTTCAATTACTTCAATTTATCACCCTTAGTATACCAAATTACAATGATACACAAGATTGTATTACTAAAAATAGTAATAATGATAATATTGATGAAATTATTATAAAATAATAATACCAAATCATTACTCAGACATAACTATAAAAAGTGTTTCAGCATTTGCAACAACTGAACATTGAATCATATAATGAATCTGTTTCTCATTTCAACATGAATATTTGTCCTCCCTAATATATTTAATGGATTCTAGGTCTATCCTTTTTGAAGCTCTTCTTGATAAGAAGGTGGTAAGACTGGAGATAAAACAATAAAAAGTAAGGTGGTAATTTAAGTAGATGAAGAGTGTCCAATGACTGCACTATCATAATGAAATTATAAGCAGGAACTCAAGGTCATTTCTGTAACTGGACAGCATGCCAGTACTTCTCAAGTACTGAAGTAGGTGCAACACAGGGTACAAAATTATTTCAAAATAAAAGGTGGTGAGTATCCACTGAGTATCTCATGGGGGTCAGCAGCAAGTTTCATAATTTCTAAAATAGTCAATGTCATTAGTAGTCATAAAAATGTTTGTGCATAATTATGGTTTGTTATGTCAAACAGTGAGTTTTGACAGTGTTGGCAGACACATTTCCAGAGGCTACAAAGGCAGGACATTGAAGTTACAAAAAAATCAACAAATTAATATGGTAAGGCATAGTCCTGAAATTGAGTTATAATTTCCATACAGGGTGTTTGTGACCCTCTTAATAGGGTAGTTAGAACACTGCAAAATAGCAAAATCCGTTTTCAAGATACAAGGTGTTGAAAACAAGATTTTACCTAAAGAACCACTTGAAGTTCACAATTTTCCAAAATCATATCACAAAATCAGACACAGATATTTGATTACTTCAAGAGAATTATAGATGCCTAAAATACAGGTGTAATAATTCCTGTTGAAAACTTCAAAGTTCAAGTTGATAATTTTCAAATGTCAATATAATATAATACCTTCTCAATATTGATTGGTCCTTTTTCCTGTCATGGAAAAAATAGTGTATTATACAAGGGAAAAATATTAGATTTCAGCTCATGGTTTTTGTCTCCCTCTGCTACATGTCTGGGGACAACACAACAGCTATTACTCCAAAATGGTACACAGTATTGAGTTTTAGCAAGAGTATGGTTTTGGTGTTAAATTGAATGAAGTTTGAGTTCACATGGACTTTGGACTGGAATATCTACTATGAAAAAAGATATGTTCAAAAATACTGGGTAGGAACCATGTAATTAGCCACCTCTATGAGAGTTAGCTATGAAAACAAATGCATGCCACAGCTTCAAGAACATCTCTATACAAAATTTCATTACAATGTTGCCAGTGGTTTCAACATAATTGTAAAAATTGTTTTTTGATTTGCAGTGTTCTAATTGCCCTAGCAAGGGGTCACCATTTTTCGAAACACCCTGTATATCACTAGTCTGAACTAAACCCTCTTTATTTCAGTGTCTCCTGATTAGTGAAATAACTTTTATGGAAAATAGCACAATAATCAATTCAAATTTCCTTTTTGGAGTCCAACACTGCTTGATGGAAATAATTTCAGTTTCACTAACAAGTATCCTTTGAAAATGTAAAAATGATATTTTTTTGTAGAATAAAGTGGTTTCATGGTGTAATTACAATGAAAAATCTATAGAAAAATTGTTCAATATCAATATGCCTACCTAGTAGTAGGTTATTTTTATTTATAAAGCTAGCTGGTACAGGATCTGGATACAAACAATTAGTTACTTTATTCAGTATCATGTTATACTGACCTTTCTGTCACAAAAAAACGACTCTCCAAAATAACATTTGAAAAACCAAGGATTTTGTAAGTTATAGGTCTATCTGTTCATCCTGAACAATTTTTCTCAGTAGTGTTTTGTATTATTTCCCTATAAAAGGTACTCCAATCCATAGAAAAATCATTGTATTATAAATTTCAGTCACGAATTGAGCCTTAAATAGTGCAGAACTTAATCCCAAAAAAGTAGATGTGAATGGAGAATTATTTATCAACCTATACAAGTCATTTGAATGATCTAGAAACACATTGTACATTGGAAAAGCCCAGAATATAGTTCGGTTTTTGATATATGAATGATAAATTCACTCAACTTCAGGACTGACCACACTTATTTTTTATGAATTTTCCAACTTGGACATGGGTCTTCAACCACTCCAGTTTTTGGTAAAAGGTCCGTTCATTGTCAAACTCACTTTCTAGCATCACATACATAATATGTACTGGAATTTTCATGACTGTACTAATGAGGTTGATCACCTGCGAATTTTTGCAACTTTGACCACTCAATTCCCCTGGAGACTGGACTGGAGCTTTATTGTTCCATATCAAAAGTGGAACCTCTTTGAAAACAATCTTGACTATACAGCTGAGTCTCAGACATTATAAGCTTTTTTTGCTCATCAAAGTTTAGGACATGAAAATGTCAGCCACTCATATCTACTTATTTCAAAATACAATTCTGAATACTTCAAAAATAACTGGCAGCCACCATATTTGATTGGAATTTGTGTACTCAGATATATGTACATTAATAATGAAGAGCTTTCAGGTGGAAGCTATAAATTGGGCTAAACAGTAGCTGGGTTCAAGTAATTCTAATATGATGGCAGTGGTAGGAAAATAAAGACAGTTATACCTATAAAATTACCAATAAAAGGATTCTCGTGATTTTGGTGGTGGCATCAAGCAAATATATGGACCTAGTGGCTTGTTATTATAGTAAAAGAAGTCTACATGGCTGTCAAGTTACAAGAAAATACCCCAGATAAAAATTAATAAGGAATCTGTAACTTACTTGTTTGAATTGACTTGTCTAACATGGGAGAAGACATTAATAACGTCCCTGACCCTTCTGGGAGCTTCTTCAATTTTAGAAGCTAAACAGACACAAGCCATTGCTGTGTGTTCAACAGGGTGTCGCACTAGGCTTTTGGAATAATAAAATCGCTGAAGAAGAACTTGCCCAGTAGCCATTGCGACCTAAAACATATCGGCCAAGCTCATTAGAAAAATATCCAAAATACAAAAATTTTTGTGAATGAATTAACTCAACATACCTGAGGCAATTTTAGTAAAATTCCAGCCGTCTGAATCAATTCACATCCATAAATACGTAAATCTGTTTCTGTGTCCATGCCTAGTCCATCTAGCTGAGAAGGTGTAGGAGAAAGCTTTTCTTCTGGTAATAACTGATTGATTAGCGTCAATTCAACTTTCCCATAAGGGTTTCCATTATGTTTGCCACTATTCGAAACTGGATCGCTTTTAACAGATCCCATTTTCAGAAGAGTCCTAAGTATCGCTTCAGATTTCAGAAACGATGAAACGAACTATGAACGTATAAACGAATGAAAAAATTATGTCGCCATCACTGTCGCGAGGTGAGGTGATTAGATGACAGCTGACAACTGACTAGATTGACGAGAAACCCAAAACCGACAACTGACAAGAACTTGACAACTGACGATCGTAACCGGTTTGAGAGCCAACCTAAAACCTAGACAGAAACGAGTGCCTGCAGACAGTTGCCACATACTACATTCAATATTTCGGCTCCCAATGCACTTCTGTGCACAGGATGGGAGATTTATTTGAATTATTTCTTCGATCTTCAGACCAGGATTATTATATATATAAAGAAACAAGGTTACAGGATAGATATTGGATAGATAGTTGGTCTCCTTCTTCTATCGGGCGCGTACCGGGGTGTTTGATATGGGGATGCCCTCACCAGCTCTTGCTGACGGGTACCCGGGAAAATAAAATACCCGGCGCGAACCAAACCAACACCACATGTATAATGAAAATAGACATATTATATCCACCCTTACCACATGGAATATGTCGAATAAAGATAGCTTGATATCCCAGGTGGGTAGGACCAAAGATGGTCTAGTTTAGGCCATGGCCAAGGGCGCACGCTTGCGGGGGGCGAGGGATACGAGAAAATTCGACCTCACCTGACGAAGACGGTCACGTGACTGCTGCAGACAGCCGCTATCTCGCCATTTCTCTTGATATGTATTTTCTGTGACGGGAAAAAAGTTTGACATTTTATATCTGTTGACAGATTAGAGTATGTCACTTTTCATAAATAACTTTTTTCCTCGTGATAATAACTTTGACCCTGATCCCAAATTAGTGGAAAGAGCAATCAACATTTTTGGAGGCAGAGCGTGCCTTATGAAAATAAATAAGGAGAAGGGGGGCCTGGCTTTGATGATGCACTCATAGAGGCATATCTTATCCAATCCTGACGAATGGAGAAGTGAGAAAAGAAACTGAAGACCAGTCCCTGAGAACCGCTAAGATGTTCATGCTGGAACACAACAAAACAAAGCTAGCCATACCACAAATCGTAGGAAATAGAAATAACGCTAGAGATAGTGCTAGAATTTTTATACGCAGCAAAACAAAAATTATTCGAATAGGGTGAAAACTGCTAGCGGATATATACCTTATCAAGTGGAACAAATCTCCAAAGGAGAAGGAAGAAGCCTAGACAGGAGGCAATACTTGTGAAAATGAAGGATACCTTATACGCAGACTTGTTGAAGACCATGAAACAAGCAGTGAACCCCAGCGAAATTGGAGTGTAGATGTTAGTGAAATAAAAAAAAAAAAACAAGAGTGGGGACCTACTTCTGATAGTGCGAAACGGTCTAGGTAAAGCAGAAGCCTTGATGAAAGAAATTACCAAAAAAATTCAGGGGACGACAACATCGCTCCTCATTAATAAAAATGTCTTGCATATAAAGGATTCGGACGAAGTGGTAACGAAGGAAGAAATGAAAGAAGCTGTATGCAAAGTCTCACTACAAACACAGTTGAAGTGCGTGCATTACGACCTGCTTTTGGGAACAGGCAAAATGCTACACTGGTGATGACGTAAACATATGCCGAAAAAAATTTCACATCAACTGGGAAGAATCAAAGTAGGATTGAGAATGTGCAAAGTTACTGAAAGGAGAACAGAAACTAAATGCTTCAGATGCTGGCAGTATGGACATACTGAAGTGAAATGCGATGGCCCTAAATAGGGAAAACTTATGCATTAAGTATAGCAAAGAGGGACACAGAGCAGCAGACTGTAAAAATACTGCATACTGCATACATCGTAACCAGGAGGGGCAGCAATCTGGAAACATGAGATGCCAAGAGAATAACAGAAGAAACGTAGAGACACACCAAAATAATGGCAACAGCCAGCATGAAGCTCCTGCAAATTAATTCAAACAGGAGCCTCCCTGACCATGATATGGCACTGACCACTGCTAAGGACATGGGAGTTGGGATATTGCTTATTGAACCAAACCAAAATGCAATAAAATCTGGAAAAGAGTGGATTTTTACGATGAAGAGCTAGATACTGATGAAAAAGTGATGGAGTCGGGGGTTATGAAAATGGACCTGGTTTCACGTATATCACGATACCTGCGGTGACAGTATATAGTTGCCTCCCGAAATTGAGATATTAATGAACTTAAAGGAACATTGCAAGAAATAGGAAGACAAATCAGGCAAAATAAGGTGGAAGGTATCGTGGTCGGAGACTTCAATGCGAAGTCCCCACAGTGGAGCATGAATGTCACAGCTAGATAGAAGAGGTCAAGTTGTAGTCGAATGGATTGCTGAAAGTGATCTAGTCATAGTAAACAAAGGTAACAAGCCAACACTCCAAAGGACAAACAACTCCTCCATTCTAGATCTGACTCTTGCAACGCATGACATAAATAGCAGGATCACGAAATGGGAAGCAATCGATAAAGAAACCCTCAGTGACCATAATTATATATTATTCGAATTCCTGGGATGTACGAAGATACGGACAAGAAAAACCTCAACAAACAAAGGGTTGGCAAGTGAGAAAACTTGACACTCAAAAACTACAAAGCGCACTTGACGAAACATGACGAACGCCGAAGGTTATTGAAACGAATCTGTGATAAAACTATGCCAAAGAAAAATACAGATATGTAGAGTGAATTCAGTAAATCTACTGGTGGAATGAGGTGATCTCAGAACTTCGCAAGTGCATCAAAAAACGGAGGACACATTCACGAAATGCAAGGAGAAATTTGCCTGAAGAAAATCAGCGCTTGTGGAACGATTACAATGAGTGTAAGAAACAACTGCGCAATATAGTATCAAGAGGGCAAAGAAAGCCAGTTGAAAACAAATCTGTGATAATATATTGACTGTGATATTTGGCGAAATAATAAGGGAAGTTGCACTCAAGAAATCAGATTATGTACTGAAAGTATACAACGAATTCGCGAGTAGGGCAGATTTTCCATTAGCTCGGAAACTTGCAAGACTAGTACATCTGAGGAAAGGATACAAACCGCTAGAAAATTCTGCTTTTATATCGACCACTTAGCCTCCCGGATGCAGAGGGTAAGTTAAACGAGCAGTCAATTTTAATCAGACTCAAGGATGAACTGAGAAGAACTGGAGGTCTATCGAACAGGCAGTATGGATCCAGAGAAGGCAGACAGATTGTAGATGCTGTCAACGCTGTCGTGGATATTGCTAGGAAACGCAGAATTTTCACCTCAGCACCGAAGCCTATGTGCAATAATCACACTATATGTTAAAAATGCATTTAACAGCGCAACGTGGCAATCATCCTAGATGAATTGAAAATACGACGAATAGAAGAGAGCCTCATAAATATAATCGCATCCTCCCTGTCTTTACGATAGAATAATTCTGGAGGCAAGGTATACAGTGAGCCATAGGTCAATAAACAATGGCGTACCGCAGAAATCCGTGCTAGGCCCAACGTTGTGAAACATCCTTTATATGATAACCTGCTAGGAATGGATGTACCCGAAGGAGCCACAATGATAGGTTTTGCAGATGATGTTGCAGTGGTAGCATTTGCGAAGGATGAACCAGTTCCGATGAACACTGCAAACACTGCCCTAGCTGCCTAGATAGCTGCGAACTGGATTAAAGAAAAACGGCTTCAGCTGGCGTCAGAGAAAACTGAAACAGTCCTCCTAACAAAGAGAAGTAGATTAGCCCAATATAATTCAACATTCAAGGTACCAAAGTTGAACCCAAGAGAGCGTTGAAATATCTTGGGGTGCGGTTGGATACAAAACTTACCTTCGCCGGCATGAAATTACCTATTGAAGCTTCGATTGAAGTTTGCATTGAACAATCATGAGAATATCCGAGTATACTGAAAGTATGTAGGGTATTGCTCGCAAAAGATATACAGAGTTGCTTTAGATAAGGAATTTATTATGAAACGAAAATATGGCACAGTGAAAATGAGATAATTAGGTATAGGTACTTCAGTGATATTGCAGTGATCTACTTACTGATATTAATGAAATAACCTCCAAAATTTCTACATTTTCATGAAAAATCTTATGGAAAGAAGAAGAACATAACTCCCACTCAACACTAAACAGCACCGCCAGAAAGTTATATCAGCAGGTAGCATGACGCTCGACGAGTAAAGGAAAAACGCTGCATTGGGGACTCACCTTTGGTACAAACGTCTCTCGCCAGTTATTGAATTAGTAACATGATGCCGTGCTGCGGAATTGTCCTAAATACGAAAGCTCAGGAGTGCCAGTGGAAAAAAAATAAAAAGTCGAAATTTCGACTTAGGAAGTCGAAATTTCGTCTTATTAAATCGAATTTTCGACTTACTAAGTCGAAATTTCGTCTTACCAAGTCGAAATTTCGTCTTACTAACTCGAAATTTCGTCTTATGTAAGACGAGATCTGAGTTGAGAAACTGAGAAAACAGTGAACCGAAACTTTCATCCGTCGTGGGTACCTAGATCTAATGACTTTTCATGAAACCTCGAAATTTCGAGATTAAAATCATGTCGAAATTTCAAGTTAACTATGTCGAAATTTCGAGATGTTAAGTCGAAATTTCGACTTACTAATACGAAATTTCGACTAAGTAAGACGAAATTTCGAGTTGATGAGACGAAATTTCGACCTCCCAAGTCGAAATTTCGACTTTTTATTTTTTTCCATTGGCACTCCAGAGCTTTCGTACCTATGATCTTTTTTCTGAAAAGTATATTTTTCGAAAAATTACCGAAGCCTCGCAGGGTTTTGAACGCGAACCACCGCCGTGGAAGTCACCATCTAGTGACTCTAAGAAGCTTTAAGATAGACTCTGTGCTATCGAGCTATACGAAGATTTTAACTAGGAAGAAATAAGATGTATCGTTTGTTGTTCGGCTTGTTTATTCAAAGGAAGGTTAGTCTAGGGTCCCTTGATGGAAATTGACGTTAAAGTCATCTTAACAGGGTACGGACAGATCCTCGTCTCCTCTCACTCTAAAGTGTTTGTGAAACAGTTATATAGTTCCATCCTCATTCAATTCTGGGGATAAACACTAGATTTTTGACATTCGTTGTTTTTTAGGTTATATTGAGGTCACTGGCGTATCAT